TGGCTAAAGTTAGACTAATATTACACTCAGTTTCACATTTGAGGTCGTATTTATCAATGTTTCTCGAAGTCCTTATTTGTTATTAAAAAGTATCAACTGTAAAATCAATTTAAAAACTATTAAAATAAAGAGGAGAAACTGAAAATATCTAAACATCATAAACTTGTAATAACAGCATTGAAACCTGATATTTTTTCCGATAAAAAAGGCTCATAATGAACAATGAGTAAACTTTATTGAAAGAAGCTTATATATCACAGATTTATATGTTTCAGCGATGTTGCTGCGCGTCGCCGTCTTTGCGTGACATTATTGTGACTGTTGTTTCCACAGTCCTCAGATCCTCAGTTATCGGTCTTCTTTCTAACAGTTTCTGTTATCCAATATGTCACTAGAAATGCCAAATATAGTCACATACTGTAAAAGCCAGATTATAGCTGCTCTATAGAACACACTTAGATACTTATTTTGAAATTTCTAAAACTGAATAAATAACACTCCTTTTAGTATTTAATATGCCAGCACTAAAGAAGAACCAAAACTGTATCAAAAAGTGAAGCAAAATAAGCAGAGAAATCATAGCTTAATAGAAAAAATTGCATATTCATTAGGAAAAATGTATGTAAAAAGACTTCTTAATTACTGATAAAAGAAAAACTTGTTATAAAAAAGTCTTGTTAAGTATTCGATAAATTATAAGGTAAAAAAAGTTACAATTAATGCTAGACAATTCTCTGTAAAACTTTTTGGCATCTGAAAAAAGTGTTACTCGATGTACTTAATAACAGAACCGCTGGAAGTGCTATTACAGCCTTTCATTACCCAGTAAACTGGTGCATTTATCAACAGCACTTTTTCAAAACGTTTCGCATATTTTTTGAACATAATTTGTTAAGCAAATACCTATTAATAATAAAGTTGTAGCTTTCATTACTTCACTAGTGTAGCCATACTGCTGTCTGTAGCAAATTTCTTTTCAGGCCTCCAGTTTCAGCTTAATTTAACATCCAGATGTTTTACATTTTACAAAGTTCTGCAAGTATAATATAAGCACACATCTGTTAAACTGATGGCCTTTTTGAAGTAAAACAAAAAACAACTTAAAAAACGCAGAAACTTCATTTCTAACAAACCATCCTACTGTACTACCACAGTATTCCACGAACGAATCTGCATACGTACCGTGTATCGTAAACAAAAATTCTGCTCCATATCGTTAGACTAGGCATCAGCTATTTTTTGAGACGGCGTTGGTTACTCTAAAGTGTGGTAAGCGATCTGTCTAGTTGCTCTTAAAGAAACCGTATTTTTTAAGAATAATTCTTTTTAAGCCGCGATTGGCCTGTCTATGTTTGAATTGACACCTTGTGTTTCTTTTGTCGTCCCGATCTTTTGAACGATCGTGGCGGTACCTCGGTGTATCCCGCAAAAAACTGTATACAGTTAGGTCGACAAGATTTGCAACGGTGCAAAAAGATAGTACTAGCAGAACACAAGAATTAAAAAAGAATAGTGAAAAGACAAAAAAGAAGCCATGGCGAGTAATATTAAAGCTAACTGCAAGACAAAGTACTCTTTATTTAAGATTAAGCGACTTCCTGATGTTTGGGACAACTGTTCTGTACGTTGATTCAACGTTGTAGCAAATAACGACATTACGCTGCCATGCACTGGCAAAATTTGTTATCCAGCGTCAACGTCCGTGAGTGCCCCTTTCCGCTAGCACCCTGTAGCAGAATTCCTGAAAACAGATTTGAGAGGAGCGTAATTATTAACTGCAACATCCCACCAGCACTATGGAGATCCCAGAATTTTGCATCAAAACGAGCAGTACGAAAAAAAACACTGGATTTATTGAAAAGAGCTTGAATTTTGAGCAGCCCACTTGTCTTTGAAAGCTTAAAGAGGAAGTGAAGAAGAAAATAGTAGTACTTTAATAGCATATGGGTCAACGAAACGTAGCAGCTACCGAATCACTCTGAGGGAGACAAAGCTAGATTTTCTTGCCTCACCAGTTCATCAACAGGCCAGCTTTGTTCATATGCCGTATTTTCATCCGTACAATCCGACTACAGTCTCCCCAAAAATACTAATTTAGAGCTAAAATCAGTATTAAATATGATCTAGTGACCTCTGCAAGCGTACTGTAGCAATAACTCTGTTTCACAATTTTTCGAGACAACCCCGTCACTTGTCCTCCTTACCTGCCAAATAAAACTTTCTTTTGCTTGTTCTTACCTTGTTTGGCTCCTAACTCCTTCCTTCCCTTTATTTCCACCCACCTGTCTCCTCCTACCAAACTCTCCCTTCTATTTAATTCTCTGTTCTTCCTTTTCTGTTTTAAACCTGCTGCACACTCTCCACTCTTGTAATTCCCATCCTCTCCTCATCATCACCTTATCTCTGTTTCTTACATCAACCACTGACCTCCTTCTTTTCTTGTGTTTCAGTTGCTCGTAAAAATTAATTCTCCCTGGTCCTTTCCAAACTCTCCTCCTCACCTTCAGCCATTTCTGTTTCATTTTGTATCTCCAAAGAGTTTCTGATTCTCCAAATTCTGTTGTTTGTTACCTAGCCTGGCACTCCGCCACCTCAACTACCAATAATATGACGCACTTGATAATCCCTTGGCGGTTGAAGTGGTACACCAAAAGAAATATCAACTTTAATCAACACAATAATAATGACAACAATAAATGATAATAATAATAAATAAATAAATAAATAAATAAATAAATAAACAGAAAAGAAAGCAGAATCAAGAAAAAAAAACGAAATAATAATAATAATAGTGATAACATTGACAAGGTTAGTAACAATAATGGTAATGATGACAACAATAACATAGTGTAAATTAAATCACACAACACTATCGTGGGATTAATTGCAGCATCTGCCAAACTAAAAAAGATAAAAAAACATCTAAAGTAAGAGGAAATCAAATGTAAATATTTAAATGTACTTGATTTTGACACTTCGGTGTAGAAATCCTGCAAATTTGCAAATATAGGAACTTTAAGAACACCACGGTAGACCCATATTTAATTGGGACAATGACAATTTGAAGTAATTTGATACTTGGTAAACGATAAGAACAAACCTTTACAGAAAAGACTACATCAAAAGCACAGGTCAAATGACCGCCAATAGGTTTTAAGCTGATATACAGCATAAAAAATGTAACAAAAGGTGGCAGTAACAGTAAGCCATTAAAGCTCTTCCTCACCATTCTTAATAAGATTTTGTTTACCTTGGCTATAGAAGATGAGCGAATACACAACCTGCATGCGTCAACTTAAACAAAAGCAAACAGATAAAAAAGCCCCTTCAAGTAATCAACAATTTCTTGGCTACCCAGCTTAGATTCACCATAGAAACGATCCACAAATGTGATTGGAACTTCTCCAACTGAACATTTCATTTTATTCGCTCTCACCATCATTTCCATCTTAAAAAATTGGCCTTTGTAAATAGTGGTTTAACTCCTTCAAAATCAAAATGAAAGGAATAAATTAACAGTTTCAGCCGGATTAAAAAGGAAAGAGAAAAACTTACTTGGAAAACATATCCTTTGGAAACACACTCTGATATCAGTTGTGAAAGTACACTCTTTCTGTATAAACGAAATGAACCAGTGAGGTCGGATACACCAGGATTCAACAGGAACTGAAAATAAACGCTCAAAATAATACTAAACAGCTTGTGAAGGCTCTGAATGCCCACGCTTCTACTTTCCCAAATTTCAATTTAGAAAATTAAACGTCTTAAAATGAACTTCTTGAAATAAGTATAGTGTATGTTTAATGAGAACAGATAGCACTGACCTGGGCCAAAAAATTTGCCCCTCTGCTAATAAATTTTCTTTTCAAATCCCAACCAGAAACACCGCCACCTAAAGCATATCGTGTGCCCGTTACAATATCGAACTGAAAATATTCACAGCATCATCAAAACAAGAAATTCGTGGCTTTCCAGAACATACGATGAACAAAACTGACATTATGTTCCTTCTGCAAATTTATCATTTCGATAATAAATTTTGGATGATGAGACAAATCTGCATCCATAAGAATGATGAACTCGCCCTGCGCTGATTGTAGGGCATAAATATAAGCTGTACCTAACCCTAAATAGTTTCAACAATAATGAAAAAATTATAAAGTTAGCAGCGATTGCTAACGTAGAGGTGACTGATTAAAGGCTGTTAAATAATAAGACAGCAGAACTCTCTGCCAGAAAAATGTCAACAACTTACCAAGTTTACCAGGACGAGACTTTAGCACTATTTTAGCGGCTCCATACTCCTTTTGTAGATTTTTAGCAACGTCGAGGGTTCCATCCGGGCTGTTATCATCAACAATAATAATCTAAAATCAGTTCTTTATCAAGGCAAAACATAAAAAAGATTAGTCCAAATTAAAAAGCATTTACTGATCAATGGATATATCGAAGAAATGCAAAACAGTCGCAAGAACCTCGTAGTTGCAATTGGTCTTATTCATGTACTTCATGATTAACCAGACGCAAATCGGCAAATTATCCTTTTCATTATATGTAGGCAATATTATAGAATAATTAGGTACAGATGACATTCTCCACTTTCTGCAAAAACAGAATTAGTAGCACACCATTAACTGTACCACTGCGACCACAAACAACGTCGATAAACAGCACAATTAATACCGAATGAGTTCCAATAAGACAAAACAAACTGTAAAATTAAAAATGTCAGAAAGATAAATTTCGCCCTGCACACTCCTCTTTTTTTTGTGCAACGATTAAAAAAAAAAACAAAAAAAAGAGAAAAAAGCAGTGACACCTGAGACTAACTTTGCAGACGGCAGTAAAACAACGTTTCCACCACTTAATCTTTCTTTACAACAGTATAGGAAGAAATACAAAGTTTACGTAGAAAATCATTTTTGAATCATAAGATATCAACCCAAATATCAGCTGAAAAATCTTAACATGGGGTACACCTGTCCAACGATAAATGCTTGATAAAAGTAGAAAACATATTTATTTATGATCTGAGTACAAAATAATCGTTCAACCATCATTAACATTAAGTATATGCAACAGTGATGGGTATCATGGCACAGCCTTAGTCGAAAAACGAAGTGGAAGTCAAAAAAAAAAGTTAACCAGCATGTATAGTAAAACAAAAAATAAGGCTCGGGAAATTATTTGAAACTAGCCTTTCTACGAGAGGACCGCAGAGAATATGAGACCACTTAGCAGATCTAAATATCTGATGTTTCATTAATCAGATGATAGATAGATCTATTCTGCAGTATGAAGAGAACACCTATAAAAATCTAAATTGAAAGAAGACAAAAACAAAGCAAATGCGTTCATGCATAAACACTCCAATAAACAAAACTCTAAAAAGTTGTAAATTTTCTTCCTGCCGTCTCTTACAAAACGCAAAGGCTCCACCTTACGACTTCTTCCAAAAGTCAGCATACTCATTATAGTCGAAATTATCATCGATAATATCCTAAAAATGCCTTCAAAGTCAACTAACTAATTGCAAAAAACTCCATGCTAACCAGTAACAAAATAACCCTACCTGTTTCATCTTGACAACCTTCTTTTTCCTAGACGCAAGCCGCCACCGACGTTCGCTCTCAGATAGCAAGTCCAAATTAACAGGAAGCTGAACTAGACAGCGCGGTTCTGCAGCTCGCATCTTTACAGTTGAGCCATCAGGATTAATAACCTTCAAATCATAAAAACTACAAGAGAAAATAACTAATAAAGTGTTTCTACCGCTAAAAAACGAATAAACTCTTTAATGAAAAAGCGGAAAAAATCATAAAAACAGTATTCAAAAACAGTAATCACCGTAACGGGGAAACGTCTAACATATTTCAGCCTACAAATTTTACCAATGGAGCTCCTATATGCGTTACCTCGACCTGAAAATATCTTCTTCTTTCAAAACAAAACTGAAACGTTTAATTACTTTTATGTTATCTGGAAAATACACTAACTCTCACTAATACGCCCTCAAAAACGTATTTTATGCATGAAAAAAGAATACATAAGGCAAAAGTTAAAAGTAGAGTAAAAAGCGAAGCAGGATCCTACATGCAGAAATTAAGCGCAACTTCGGTGCTAGAAAGAAGCTGTTATGTAGAAGTGTCCACAACAAACCAGGCATCGGTCAAAAGTACCTGAAATTTTGAGATAAAAACAGAAGAAAATGAGCAGAAACCTGCGAACGTCAGGTAGAAGTACGAACATACTTTCAAGTTAAAAATACAACTGCACAGCCAAAAAAAATCAATTCTTCACAAAAAAAATCCTGGCTATCCCGTTCTACCGTAAAATATAGGTTTCAATGACTAATCCCTAGCATTCTGGACCAAGGCAGGTAAACCTACTGATTTAGCCAACCAAAGAATACTTACAATTAAAAACAATTCAGTTTCGCCGAAGTCAACTGCTCATAATGTTGTTCTTTTAACAGCTTCATAAAGAGACATCAAGCTGTCAAAATTTGATTTTCGTATCCTAGCCTACCGCGCAACGCCTAACTCCTAAAGCACTCTTCTTTTCCAGTTTTGGATCAGTTAAAAAACACCACGCCAAGAATTCTTTGGGTTCTGGGAAGCAAAGAGTTTCTTCCGAAGTAACAGCACTAACAACAAACAACTTTGGTGTTTCAATTAACAATTGCCAAACCCTTGTCACAAAGAAGTCAACATTTTTGCTTTTTTTCCTTCATACTGCCGACGATACCGGTAAAACTACTGTTTAAAAAAGCTTAACAATATAATTTCACTTATAAAGACCACAGAATTCCAATAAAGTTACAAAATGTCCAAAATTAAAATCTAATCAATGAACACGGAATCACAGCGAACGTAGCAACCAAGTAGTTTTTTTAACAACGAATGCCTAAACACAGTAAAAATGATTGGCAGGATGGTTACCAATACCGCTCCGTTATATATAAATACTGGCACATTCAGCAAGCATAACTAACAAAAATGATATGCACAACTGTCACAGATACATAAATTGTCGAAGAATACTTTTTGCAGAATAGTACTGGCATTTTCATTCATTCACAAGTTAACCCGACGATCCACTAAAGTGCAATATGCTTCAGCTGGCTAAATTCCAACATCTCGCTATTTTGCCTCAATGCTTTTTTAAAAACAGTTTACTTTAAGGAGTCTAAACTGCTCCAGAACTGTCTTCTCTCTTATTTGTTCTGTTGCACTTTACATTGTATATCTCGAACGCTCATGATTTTGAGTTTACCTTTTTTTGCTAATGACAAATGAACACTTTTTTTTTTTTTTTTTT